CAGACTCTCCTGTCAACTTTTGCTCTTTACGACTTTCCAACCAATATATATTATTACCTTCCAGCAAATTTTTTGCAACCATTTTTTTTTTCGACTTTCCTACACAGGCATTTCTATCTTATTTTTACAATTTTAATTCCAACCAACATTTACGACTTTTCAGCTAATTTTTACGAGACAAACTTGTTCGACTTGTCGCTCGACATTGATACTATTGGAGTCAATTTGTTGACTACATATGAGGAAACTTTTTTGACTTTTCAACAAATTTCTTTTACTCTCCTGCCAACTAATACGATTTTCTAAACAAACATTACTACTTTCTAGAAGACTTTTTTGACTTCTAACTAACGTTTATGAAGTTATACGCAATTTTCTGGCCTTCTAGAAGACACTGACAATATTTCCCCACGTTTGTGATCTTCCATTGGCATTGACAACATTCCAGCGAATTTGAGCAAACTTACACGCAATTCAATGCGACGTTCCGGTCGACTCTCCCTCCATTTTTTTAAAACTTTCCATTCAAACTTTTTTGATATTCCAAACTACTTTTACAACTTTCCAGAATAATTAAGAGCTTCCACGCAACTGTTGCGACTTTTCGGGTGACATTTACAATATTCTAGGTAATAGAATTTACCCGTAAACTAAATTGTATGGCCTTCAATCCAACTTTTAAGACATTCCAGCCAATTTTTAGGACTTTGTAAACAACATTTACTGCTTAAACATATTCGACTTTCCATCATCCAACGTTTTCACACGGTTGGTAAATTTAAATGAACTTCCACACAACTATTGCGACTTTCCGGGCGACATTTACGACATTTCAGCCAATTGGTACAATTTTCCAACCAATGTATATGGCCACAGCGTGTGTTCATGACATTCTGTTAAACTTTTACAAGTTTTCAATCGACGTTTACGACTATCGAACAAACATAAATTACTTTCAATCATCTTTTTTTCAACATATACACTAACTTTCACGATTTGCTAGCAATATTTGACAAATTCCACACAGAGTTTCTGGTCGACATTTCCATTTTTCCATTTACAAATTTCTACGTAACATCTGCGACTTTCTTGCAATTGGGGACAGTTATGACATTCAACACCAACTTTTACGACTTTCCAAAAAAATTCCCTACAACTGTGACTTTTCAGCGACATTCACGACACTCCAGCTAATCTGTGTGATTTTCCAGCCAACTTTCCAACCAATTTCACGAATTTCCAGCAAACTTTTGCCAACTTCCTCCAAGGCTTTTGCGACTTTCTGAACGACACTGACAATTCTCTCCTTCAAACCAATCCAATCGATGTTTACGAATTTCAAACTAAATTTACAACATTCCACCTAATTTCACGACATTCCAGCATTTTCTTAACGACATTTTACCCAACTTTTACAAGTTTCTAAAAGACGTTTTAGGAATATCTAGCCAACTTTACAAACTACACACAATATTTGTGATTTTCTTGGGGTCATTTTAGCCAATCTGTACGTCTTTTGAAACGACATTCACTATTTTCTAGCAACAAATATTCGACTTTCAATCAACTTTTACGACTTTTCGGGACAATTTTACGAACTTCTAGTAACTGTTCCCACTTTCAGAGCGACATGTACGACATTCCAGATAATTTGTAAGACTTTCCAGCCAACTTTTTTGACATTTTCAAACAAGTTTTTCAACTTTCACACAATTTTTGCAACTTTCAGCCAATTGTTAAAATTTTTACAAGTTTCCAATTGACGTTTACTAATTTTACGACTTTCTTACAAACTTTTGTAATTTTCAAACCAGCTTTTCAAACTTATGTTTTATGACTATCCTATCAATATTTATTATTTTCAGTCAACGTTTTTGCTTTCACAACAACATTTTTTCGACTGTCCAGCGAACTGTTATAAATTCCAACTTCCATGTTCGCAGTCAATGGTCACGGCATACGTCCCTCCATACAAATTATATCATTATACTATTTTTCAAACAACTTTCCCGACTTTGCCATCCACCTATATGACCTTCCCTTCAAAGTGTATGATTTATCATGCCACTTTTACTATATTCCATTCTATTTGAACGAATTTGAAACTATCTTTTACAAACTTCCACGCAACATTTTCGACGATTTAGACATTTAACTTTCCAACCAATATGCTTGGTTTCCAAACAGTTTCAACAACTTTCCTGTTAAAGGAACTATCAATATTTTCTAAGCATCATTTACTACTTTCCGGTCAATTTTTATACGTTTCAACAAGCTTTTAGGAATTTCAAACCAACTATTACAAACTGAATATCTATCTGACCGACAGTTACGACATTTAATAAAACTGATTAGAATTACTCCCTCAAACATTTTTTTATGCGACGTTCCAGTCCAATTTCTCTCGATTTTCTTCCCAACTTTTACAACAACATTTCCAACTAACATTCACAATATTCTACCCAACTTTTGACTTTCCTTCCTATTTTTACTACTTACGGTCAACAAATACGACTTTTACAACCAATTTTTACGACTCTTCTGCCAAATTTTACTTTTCTGCTACGAACTTTTACGAACGTTTCCGAACTTCGACGAAACGTTAGTGACTTTCCGGCGGGTGATATGTTTTACAACACTCCATTAATTTGTACGACTTTCGAACCTATTACGATTTTCCAGAAGTCGGTAAAAGTTGCTTTGAAATTTTATAAGCAGCGTACAACTTGAAAGTCGGTAAATGTTCCCTACAAAGTTTTCAAAGCTGTATACAAAGCAGATGGAATTTTTGCGTAAACTATTGAAAGCAGCCACAAAGTTTGTAAACTACCAATAATAGTGAGAAAGTCAGTACAAGTATCTATATCTTCTTAAATTGGTTCAGCTTGCACCGAAGTGTAATCACGTGACCAAGTCCATCATACTAAACCGGGTCACCTATTTTGCCCTGTCACGTAATACAATTCTGATAGTAAACTTTAAACCGAATAAATCATGAGGAATAAATATACGACGTATGTGTACAGGGTACTTGATATCAATTGGCAAACGGCGATCACGTGACGGAAAAATACATATCATAAATAATTTCTTCGAGCGATTGCTCCTAAACGATCTGGTGACATCGAATAATATCTGAAATATGTGCCAACTGAAAGCCGTTTAAGAAAATATTTCAACGAATACCGAAGACAGTGCACGTTTGGATCGAATCGTATGCGCCCGCTTTGAACAGTTGTTGTAACGGTAGGTTTATTCACTACATGGCATTTGATTGATATGCGTCTATGTATGAGTCAACAGAATCCGTCATAGAACTACTCGGTCAGTTATAAATTCAAATAAATGTCATTAAAGACATCCATGAAGGTCGGTGTATATCAGGCAATTCGTGAGGCAACGCTAACGCTGCTCCATGAGTTCTCGCGTGTCGCGTAGCCAAGATGATTCAGGCAACGTCGCCCGTCACCACAGTTGGTTGCCTCGTGTAACCGTTAATGTCACTAAGCTGTCTCTCGCGGTGCCTCCTCTACTGGAATATGAATCTTGATCGACGTACATGTACGAACGTGTGTATCAGGTAATCGGGTGACGTGTCTAGGTCATCCCACATACGTCATCGATTATACGCCTTGTTTGTGGCGTATCTGTTTTTGTTTGATTTTGCAGCGTTGTTATCGCGACGTCATAGCGTGTCACTGTTTACAGACAAGCGTCTACCCATGAGTCTTTGCGTTTTTTGCGTGTGTTGTTATCGTCGCTTGGGACTCAATTCCCGCACGTGCGCAGGTGACAACCCTCCCGCTTTCAACTGTCCATACAAATACAGTGGCCCCTCGCTAAGTCGCGGGTGTTGGGATCCAAGCAAAAACCGCGACTTATCGAGGGCCGCGACTTACCGAGGGACGTCGTGAAAGAGGGAGGTCGTGCATTGAAAAACATATAAAAAGCACATATAAACCCTCGGTTTAGTTAATTGATGTATCATCACATGTGTCAGGCAGTATTCGAATAAAATCATGATTATGTTTGCTGTAAACATTGCGTTGATTATTTTGTCTAATATTATGTGGGCCGCTTGCTGTTGCTGTAGTTGAAAACATTGAATGTTGCCGAGTCGTACACACAATCTTGTTTTGTCTGTTCGTGCATTGCCCTGTTTTATTTTGGTAACAGCGATGTACGTGGCACCGATCTATCTATGAGAATGCGGCTTTTCAATAACGAGTAACAAGGGATAATATAATTCTGTTACCATAGTTATATCATGACTCTTTTGGGTGCTGATTTCATTGCACAGTACAAGTCTTTTGATTGGTTTCAAATGAAGTGGAAGTGTATCAGTATACAATGATATAACAGTTATTATGTTTTATTTCCAGTTGCCTGGTTCGTTGAGGGTGACGATATATCTCAAACGGCGGCGGTCGAATTGCTTGTTAACAAACAATGTAATTACAAATAACACTGCAAAAAAAGTCTTTCCGTTTTCGACATTGTGAAATTTATTCGTTTTTATGCAGAAAAATACAGTATTTTTACAAAGGACAATCATATTTATTAAATTTATTGTTCATATATGAGTTGTTGAACACACTACATTGTAATTTTATACAGCTTCTTTCAGTCATGTTTCAAATAAAAGATAAATAGAAGGCATAAAATATAGAGGATATATCAAATTATCTTTTTTTCTGTAATATTCTCGCGTAATCGGTAATTATGAAAATTATGTTTATGGATGCATAGGGAATATAAATTCATAAAAAAATCTGAATTATTATGTCAAAATCAGTTTTTTCAGAGTTTTTTTCTCCCCCAGAACGAAAGAATTTCACAACATCTAAAAAGTCTTTATCGCAGTGTTACATTTTGTATAGGTCGCGCTGGGCTCAATTCGAACAAGGCGCGGTGTGACGACCACCGCACTTATTATCGTACTTAAGTACTTAAATATCATATATTTTCTATTGCAGTGTTGGTGTTAACTACCGATCGTTATGAGTGATAACTTTGATAATTCAAAGTATGGTGGTTTTAGTAACGACGCTCCCCCGCCGTATCCAGGTATAGCTGAACCATATTCCACGCAGCCACCGGTTGCTACGCAACCAACGCATACCACCACATCATTTGTCTCAGGTACGTGCAAAATATTAAAGTTGTTTATAAAATCCGGATTTCCCTTTATCTGATGCATTTTTTACACACAATTTTATAATAAATTTAAATTAATGTGATTGGTTAACTCGACAATATTCTATTCATATGCAAATATTTAGTTTTGAGACGCGCGCTCGCTTACAGTGTTAGTTACGAAAATACTAACCAATAAATCCAGCAAACAGACCAAAATGTAAGAGCTTTTTAAAATAAACAATACACTACAGTCTATCGGCATTTTGCAAGACATGGCGACCTTTCTTGAAACGTATTTTAACATCGACCCCAATGAATGAACGTGTATTTCAAATACTTTGACATAGGGCATCCAGAAGTTCAACTTACTTAATTTGCCATGAAATATTAATTAACCCATCGCCTGCGTGAAATTACCGGTCGACTGACCCCTCACAACTATCGTAAACTTGCAGTTTGACTGTTCTAAAACAGTTTCCGACTGTTCTATAATATTCTTTATCAAGTATTTTTAGCGCATATGTAGGTATCCCGCGCAAAGCTATTAGAACACCGAACAGATTATGTTTTTTTTTTGTCATTTGCATATCAACAGTGAAAAAAGTAAATTTTGAAGGGCGCGACAAATTAAATGTAGAAGTTATTTCACGGCAATTCATGTAATATCACGTCATCTCTGTATATTGATAGGGGATGTACAGTATTTTTGTAAAACCTAGGCCACGGCATGTTTAGCGTTGTACTTATGTCTGATTATGATCGATTACTGTATTTTTTGTGCTGCAAAAATTATCTGTGTTTGTCCAACAGAACTTATAAACCATGTAACCGTGTCACGAAAATAAACAGATAACACCATAAACCCGTGATATCGCGACGTTTTACCCGTGATTTTGGTATTTTGACAGGTCGCTTTGTGACTCGTCCTAATTACGACGCGATAGGGGATTGTCGTGTTATAAGATTTTTTTTAAGAATTTCGGTCTTTCCGATTCCAACACCTCGAATAATATAAACAATCCAATGAATTCTTCGGAATGTTTTTTGCATGTAGATGATAAACTCGATAGCGACCGCCCATGCAACGGCAAGTTCGACAACAACATTTGCTACTTTAAAGCGTAATTTTCGCATTGCATCGTGGGTGAAAACTCGACGGGCGCACATTTTTGTGATGATGTGGCGCATTGATATTAATAAAGTGCACGTAATAAAAATAAACATTGTTTTGTTATAATGAAAGCTATACTAGATTGTACACGTCATTACAACGTTATATCTATGCTGTTTTTAGGTCCATATAGAAGCGTGTACAGAGACTTCCCAGTCAACGTGCGTTGTCCCTCGTGTCACACCGACATCGTAACCGTCCTCAACTACACATCCGGGGTACTGGCCTGGGTGATCTGTGGTATTATTTGTTTACTTGGGTAAGTGTATCTATTAAAGCGAGAGGGTCGTCACCAGCGCACGCGCGGGAATTGAGTCCCAAGCGACGATAACAACACACGCTAAAACGCAAAGGCTCATGGATAGATGCTTGTTTGTAAACAATGACATGCGATGGCCATCTGGCGCATGCGCAGGTGACGACTCCCCTGCTTTGGGACAATACAATCATGTTTCTATGTGTACAAATGGTCTTTAACCTATTGTATTTTGTACGTTTCACAGCGGTTGGTTACTATGTCTCTGTCTTATACCGTTCTGTATCAACGCTTGTAAAGACGTCGTTCACTCCTGTCCTAACTGTCATGCTGTGATTGGTAAATACGACAGACTGCACTGAATAATCACCGGAAGCAGATGATGCGCATGCGTTGTTGATGTTACAGACGATGACTGGATACTTGAACACTCTCCCGTCTTAAGACTGTAACTGTGATTTTTGTAAATATTTGATGACAGATAACAGTACAAGATCTAGTAGGTTATTTAGGGAACAAAAGATGCATATATTATTTTTGATATGAATCCAAATGACCTAAAACATAATCCAAAATGATACATTGAATTGATGTGTTTCAAGTTTGGTAATTCTCTGTTATATACATTTTGAAGATCTCTCCCATGATGCAGTGCATATATGCGCTGTAGTGTACATTTGTTATTCGCCTAGAACTGCTTTAAATAAATGTATTATTTAAATTAGTGATTAAATTATAGAAGCAAATAGTATTGTTGTTTGAAAACTGAATTTAAAAATGAATCGAATACTAGTAATTATAACAAGCAGGTTATTTTTCTTGTCGAATACGATTTTAATCTTTGCTATATTATTGTATATTATTAAATCTAACATGTGAACGGATTGCAAAGTGCGAATAATGAAAACTATCGAACAAAGTCAACAAGTTGGTTGCTTAGATACCAACACAAGTAACAACAGTTCCGATCAGTTTGCTTCTGCGTGTTCTGGTACCAACACACTTCCAAACTACCACATACCGACTCGGACCGTGTTTAAACGTTCACAAGAGCCTTGCTAAAGTAAATTTTACATTAGATACACAGGGGTCAAATGTCAAATAGAGAAATCAACAAGCTGATACATATAGTTACGTACTTTACCCCGTAGACGTTTGTTCAAAAGTCAATAAAATGAGACCACACTTATGTAAACATACGAGGCAGCGTCACCTGTACATCGTATAAACGAAAACAAGGTATTTTGTACATCGCCAAAATACACTAATTTAGTTTGATCACAACACTACTTTGTTCTCGTGGGACATTATCTAAAGGTCGTCCACCCGCCATCTAGATACAAAATTAAAACTCGAGTCGTATTTGCAGACGTTACCGACCTATGCTGTGATGTGCCTATTATAGAACATACCATTATTTAAAGTTATATTATCACGAGTAATATTGAACATTATTATACATCTGTCACCGTAACGTCATAAGTTACAGCGTGCCGTAATTTTGCGGTGATTTACGGGGTATTTTCGTCCTGTCATATTAGGAAATGCGAATTCCAAATATGGAATGATTGCGCGCATAAGCGTCTTCTAATAATAAAAACAAACATGGCTGCCACTAGGGTTTGACCGGACTCCACACAAAGAAGTTCGCTGATTCTGTTTTAAACATTTTGGATTTCTGCATTCCCATGATGTATCCTTGGAAGGAAAAGATGTATAATAAGAAGGTTATTACGAGGCTACCTTAAAGTATACACTCAGACACCATACCGTCACATTGACCTCCGCTGCGCGTCGGTCGATACTCCCGCTGTACTGTCTTCGTGCATACTTTGAGGTATCCTCGTATTAACCTCATATTATTAATCAGTTACATCCGTGAATTGAAGGATATGCCCGTGATCTACTAGTATTTAAAGTACAGTACAAAGTCGGAAACGATTTTTCGTAATAAATTAAAAGCACAAAAACGTGCACGTGTACTATTAAAAAGTAGCGTGCCAAGCTGGGAAAATTTTGCCTGTCACATTCTTTACGTTCAAATTTGCAGCGAAGTATATTCACGTGAAAAAAAAAATCGCACTGAAGCTCACTCACCTCTTTCACCCTGTCATATAATTTTGCAGCGACAAATACATAAATATGATAAGCTTTTGACAGTTAAATTTAAACACAATAGATAACATTCTTGGTAGTATTTATCGCGTGTATCTTAACTCTGACGCAAGTATTGACGAATGGAGATCACGTGACTGGTAAATCAATAGCAAATTATGATTCATTTCTTCTAGCGATTGCAGCTGGACGACCACGTGACGTCGAATTATATCTGAACTGTATACCCACAAAAAGGGCGTATAATATAACAGTTACTTCTACTAATACCAGAGACACTGTACGTTTGTAGCAAATCGTCCGGACAAAGCGTGCCGTAGAAAAGTTGCTGTAAGTGTAACGGTAGGTGTCCGTATTTACGTAGCGTTTGATTACTGTGCGTCTACGAGTCAGGTAAACCAGACAGAACTTCTCGGTTAGTTTATAAATACAAGTCGATGTTGTTGTTTTTAGTTTTTTTTTTTTTGAAAAAGAGCACCCAGGACTCATGAAAGCTTTTTTTTCACAAAGATCGCTAGCCATATTTATTTGAATAAGAATCCTACGACTTTGTTAATCACGTAATCGGGAAATCTGTATTTGCTATCCGGTTTATACGACTCTTCAATGATGTACCCGCCCTGGTATAATTCGCTTTACGCCTCTCAAACTGAAACGCAGCATAAAAAACGACAATGTATTTTGGATCTGAGATTTTGGGTGTTCATGTCATTAACAGTACAAGTCGTTTGGTGACTTTCAAATGAAGGTAGAAATGTTCTATGTTGTCACTCTTCTATTATGTTAATGTTTATTTCTAGTGACCCAATGAATTCATGGCGATGTTATATCTCGAACGCCGGTCTTCTTGCGATAAACGCGGGTGTATTGTAATATAAGGCCAAAAATAATTATTTTGTAGCCCTCAGCGACCGACCGAATAATAAGAAATATCGGGTCGCGTTTTTTTCCTATATACCTTGGCTATTTACGATACTCTTAGTTTTCACGAGTTTAAAAAAAAATCCGATCGACCTACCTAATTTTTCAATTTTCCAACTTGAGGGCAAGATAAGTTTTTTTTTTTTTTTTTTGCCTAATTCATGGAATTGAATGCGTTAGATGCATCGTCTTTTCAACAGAACGTACGCGCGTCCACCAAATAAATAATCGCCAATAAAGTATAGTCAAGAGATGGTTATATTTACTGTTAAATATGAGCGAGGAAAATACACAGACTAGTGGTGTACTTATATTATATCCCATACTTTAACTATTGCAGCGTCGGTGGTATCTACCGTTCACTATGAGTGAGAACTTTGACAATTCAAATGCTGGTGGTTTTAATAACGACGCTCCCCCGCAGTATCCAGGTGTAGCTGAACCTCATGGAAACAAACCACCCAACCCGAACCAACAAGCATATCCCTCGCAGCCACCTGTTGCTACGCAACCAATTCACACAACCACAACTATTGTCTCAGGTATGTGTGGAATATGGCGAGGTTGCTTTTAAAACCCAGAATAACGGAAAAGAATGTCTTGAACTTGAACCGAAAAAAAAAAATGATTTTAAACTTGTAAATTACTATATGATAATAACGTTATCACTTCCATATATATATATATATATATATATTTAGAGAGAGCACATGTGTTGGGTTTCCAACCTTTTTTCCATCTTAATGCATGAGATTATGTATTCCAAAATATATTTCAAACAAAACTTTATCACACGTGTTTATAAAAAGTAACTTTGTAATGAAAATAAATTAATGAAACAGACAGGTCCACAATATATAATTTTATTATATATATATACACGTAATAAGCAAAAACATCAAATTTATAGTTCGGAATTCGTGGGGCGGATTTCAGTAAAGATGTATTATGATGTATATGTTTTAATCAAAATGAACTTTTTTATATTTTATAGAATCTATAAGTATATTTAAAGGGCGGCAGTCGTTGCGCCGCGTCCTGTTCGATATGAGACTCATAGCGACGTATACAACGCGTTTAAAATTGTTTATTTAAATGAAATTCGAACACGCGCTTTAATTATCGTATAAACATTTCGGGGGCCTATCATAAATGGAACATGCTTAAAACAGTGGTCAAAATTAACAACCCGCATTTGTATGATGACTAAATTTGCATACTTGCATGTAATTAAAATAATTAGCACAGTCAAAATGACCAAATGAGTACTACTTAGCATGCACACACCAGATCTTACCACATTTTCTGAGATTGCACAATTAATATGTAAACATAACCGTCATTGCAATTTTTTGTTAAAATCACACGTTCTAGAGATTTCGAAATTTAATTTAATAACCAAATGAATTCTTCAGAACGTTTGTTGCGTGTAGATGATATTAAACTAGATGGCGACCGCACACGCAACGACAGTTCTGTGGTTAGCAACAAACAACAAATTCTGCTATGTCAAACGTAATGTTCGATTTGCATCATGGTCCAACATGTGATGATGTGGAGCATTGATATTAATAAAGTGCACGTAATAAAAATAAACATTGTTTTCTTATGATGAAACCTCTACTAGTACATGTTGTTTACCACGTTATATCTATGCTGTTTTTAGGTCCATATGGGACCGTGTACAGAGACATCCCAGTCAACGTGCGTTGTGCCTCGTGTAACACCGACATCGTAACCGTCGTCAACCACACATTCGGGGTATTGACCTGGCTGGTCTGTGGTATTATCTGTTTACTTGGGTAAGTGTATATCTATTACGTTCTTGGAGATTTTATTTCATTTCTCGAATATTTGGCTGGGGCACAGTGTTAACAGCATACTCTGAACGAGATCTTAAGAAACATTGGCTTCTATGATATATCGGGAGAGATCTCGATCAACATTTGAATTTTGAAAGGTGACAGGTAACTTTGACGTATATGTTTAACCCATTCCATTATGTACATTTCCCACAGCGGTTGGTTACTATGTCTCTGTCTCATTCCGTTCTGCATCCCCGCCTGCAAGGACGTCGTTCACACCTGTCCTAACTGTCATGCTACGATTGGTAAATACGACAGACTGCACTGACTACCGGAAGCAGATGATGCGCATGCGTTGTTGATGTTACGGATATTATTCTTTGATGATGATGACTGGATACTTGACATACAGTCTTCCGACTTTTAGACTGTAACTGTGATTTCTGTAAATATTTAATAACACAATAACCATTCATTGGTTGATGGTGACACCGACTGAATAGTAACTTGAGTAGTAAATAGTTCAGTGGCTGCACTATAGAAAACAATGCTGACAATAAATATAATCATATTTGATATGAATTGTCGTATATATCTATTGTTAATAAAGTATGTATAAAAGATATGCTGCATTTCAACTACACAAATACATACTTGGCATGTATATTATGCAGAGTGTAACTTCTAAAGTTGTATTCATAAGTAAACACTAAATGCTACGGATAACTGATAGTTGTAGTTATAGAAGTACGATGACACAGTCATACTCCGCATTTGAAAAGTTTTGGGTGTGTGTTTTTCTACAGCACCATTGCGGACTTTGTGTTGCTACAGCGTACGGGTGTTACGTGTAGGAGGAGAGTGGGTCAGTGACGGGCTTAACGGCCCGTAGTATTGCCCCTGATATATCTACATATATATCATAGTGAACTACATATAGTATTCCATCACAAATCAGCTGCTTGGCCTATTCAGTATAGTGACTATGCATTCACACAGCTACTAGTAGTAGACTTGAACTTTATTTTTGTTTTCGAATCCAGAAATCTGCTACTCTTGAGACTGTTCCAACATTTAAATAGTGCAGGGAAAAGTTGTACTCTCCATTTGGATCGGCGAATGAGAACAAGATCGTTCAGAAAAACTGCCGGCTTATAGTTTTCAATAAAGAAATATTGTTTTCCTGATAAGTGATATCCATTTAATTATTCATGAGCAATACATATTTATGTAAATGGGCACACGTACAGGGCTAAGCAATGCAACATAAATGTTAAATCGTTTTTTTCGTGTTATGATTGAGAAATATTCACTCGAAAGTGTTGGTTATTAGATATAACATCACACTTTTAGTGTGCGCTATACTAACAGTTATTATTTGGCGTTGTATCCGATAAACAACACTACTCACGGTGTTTCCAATATTAAACGTCAGCCAAAACTAAAAGTAACATGGCCCAAAGTGACATAACACGACTTATATAACGAACGAAAGCGAGACATTCAACGTCGTCACGTTTTCATGAATTGGAACGTCATTTTGCATGACCTCTGATAACACTATTACCTTAAACCACTTGTTCTTACAGCTGGTTGACACGAGTAGCATCATGGCTATTATTATCCTTGAACCAAAAAGTACTGATAATTTACGTGCATACTATTGGTGCAAGAAATCCATTCCCTCCATCTTTATAAATATTTATAGTTTTTACAATTCAATTCAATGCAAGCGTCTTTGTTCTGCTGAGAGTATCGCCAGCTTTAGTATAAAATATTAGTAAGTGATATTTCACACTACTGTTGCTAAGGATATTCATCATGATTATTTTATATTGATATGAGTCCCAATGGTTTTGCGCAGTAACTTGCTCGAAATGCATAAAATATTAATTTCCAATCAAAGAAAAAAAAATAATAATAGAAAACTAGCCATCTTTTTTTAACAGTTTGTGACAAAAAATACACATTCTGTTAAAATATGAATATTAATAT